CTTTAACTACAGAGATGGAACAAAAAAGCAAGGTTTCTCTTTATCTAAATGACACTAGAAGTATGAGAAAATGAAAAGCAAGCAGCTTCAGCCTCACACTCCCCTAGGTAAAGTAGGAAGAAGAAGAGAGGACCCTGTCCCAGGCAAGAGTAAAGGTCCGTGGTGTCTCACCATGGGATGCAGAAACCTGGGGGACTTAGGCACCGAGGGACGTGGGTGTGTTCCACCAACAGATCCCAGGGCACTGGAGCAGATGGGTCCCATTGCATCTCAAGTTTGGGAACTGAGGTGGCTGGTGATTGTAGTTTTTATCTATCATGCTCATACATTCATAGGTGCTCACATGTTAACAACCCACTAACCCTTCCCAATTGTAAGGCCTAAAGCCAATTCCACTTTAACATTTAAACACAACACCTTTGCTTAATCAAAATTCACACAACAAACAAAAGGTACCAGTTTGCTAGATCCAGAGACACAGAAGCATGGAACAGACTGACAAATTTCAGAGGAAAGGTGGGGGTTGTGGGTGGGTAGGGAGTGATTAACTGGGCATTATGTTAAGTGAAATAAGACAAGTACTGTGCAATTTCACTTATATGTGGAATCTATAGAACAAAATAAACAAACAAAATAAAAAGACTTATGCATACAGAGAAAAGACTGATGGATGCCAGAGGGGAAAAGGCTTGGGGGGCTGGGTGAAAAAGGTGAAGGAATTAGATGTACTAACTGGTAGTTACAAAATACATGGGGATGTAAAATAAAGCATAGGGAATATAGTCAACAATATTGTAATAACTATGTATGGTGCCAGGTGGGTACTTGAAATACTGGGAACACTGTAAAGTATATGATTGTCTGCCATGCTGTACATCTGAAACTAATACAAAATAATGTTGAATGCAAACTATAGTTTAAAAATAAAACTTTTAAAAAAGCAAATGACTCTGTGAAGTCAAATACCACTGGAGAGAACATAGTTAAAACACTTTAATCGACACCATCCTCTCTTCCTTGCTTTTGAAACCCCACACCATTTTACCTGGCCTTTCTTACTGCATTCTAGCTTCTACAGAATAAATCGCATTCCAACTTTATAGACTTATTTATGTATGTGGGCCACCTCCCTTCATGACTGTTAAGTTCCTGACAGCAGAATCCACATCTAAGATACCTATTTTTCACCCACAGCATAGAAAAGGCATAAAAGTAACATAATAAACATTCATCATCAGTTGAATAAGCTCAGAAAATGTTCACAGGTGTTTTGATAGTCAAACGTCCCTGGGAAACTGAGAGGTAAAAATATGACTTCAACAGGCTGAATTAAAGACATTTTAAAATGCCACATGTTTTAAAATGTGAAGTATGCAATGCATGATCTTTTTAAATCCTACATTAAATATGAAAGGGATTTAGAAGAGAGAACATAATAAGGAAACTAAACCAGGATAGAGATTAGCAGTCAGTGATAATAAATTGCTTCCCTGCCCCAAACACAAACACACACATGCACAAAAAAATAATTATGAAGCTGGAGAAAATGTTTAGAAAAAAACTCTACTCAGATATGAAAATATGAAAAGTTTAAAGCTTTTTCTAAAAAAAACTTATTTTTGAGTGTTGTATATTGATATGGTTGCAGTTAATCCACCATAATCTTTAGAACCAAACTCATTACCAAGGGGTTTTACACAGTATAGGAATCTCGATCAACTCCCCAACCTATGTGACCCTAATTTAAGAATAATAAAAAGCCTTCCTATTCCTTCTCAAGTGTCCAAATTATGGCTAACAGCAACTACTACACCAAAATCAACAATTACACAAACCTCTTGTTGGAGGGTATATCCTTCGCTTATATTGTTTAAAGAAGAAACATGAAATAAAAGACAGCTAATACATACTATAAGTAGGACAAGAAAACCATGTCATAAACACAATGCCAAATTACTGAGGACTGAAATTCATAAGTGTTATGAATGGAAGTGTGTCCTCCAAAAGAAATGTGTTGATGTTCTAGCCCCTCATGCCTCACAATGTGACCTTATGTGGAAACAGGGTCTTTACAGAGGTAATCAAGTTAAAATGAGGTCATGCAATGTGATTCGAGTCCTCAGAAAAAGGGGAAATTTGGATGTAGAGACAGAGGCACACAGGGAGCACACCATGTGAACATGAAGGCAGAGATCAGGGTGATGCACCTACAAGCCAGCAATGCAATTGCCAGCACACCGCAAAGGCTAGGAGAGAGGCAGGGAACAGTCTCCCTTACAGAACCAACCCTCAGAAAGGGGCACTCTGCCAACGCCTTGTTCTTGGACCCTGGCCCCCAGAACTGTAACAGAATAAAGTTCTTGTTTAAGCCATCCAATTTGTGGTGCTTTGTTTCTGCAGCCCTAGCAGACTAATGTCATGAGGTTCAAGGTAGATCCAAAGGTGACACGTGTAAATTAACATATGTAAAATGTTCTCAAACCAACAATCAGTGAGATCTCTACAAATGCCAGGCAGCTTTAGTGCAAGATACTAACAGCTGCTCTTAGAGAAGATGCTAAGGACAATGTTTAAAGACGGAGGCAGGGCTGCAGACATTTATGTGAGGGTGGTCAGGAATGCTGCAACAGGAATTCCAACATGCAGCCGGCTCTTTAAACTACGTAGCACTTCAGGGGATACACCAACCAATGGCAGCTCTCACGTCTTGCTAGATGGCACATATAACTAGGGTCCATTGGCCTGACCTTGCCACCTTAAAGCAAACACAGGCAGCCTGTCATGTCTTAAAGGAGGCCAGTGGTCAATGGCTTTGATCTCCAGCTAGAGGAAATTAAATGCCACATGTGACCAACAGGCTTGAAACAGCTTGAGAAATGCTGACAGGATACATTTAGACCTGCTGGAGTGAAAAGTATTAACTGTCCAGAGCCATCCTTCTCAAAGACTGCAGGTACTTAAAAGGCAGTCTTCTTTTTATTCAGGCATAATAAATGGAGGATTTCTCACCCATCCCCACGACTGTGACATCAATCGTAAAGTTAAACATTTAATAGAGTTACTGGCTTACATTTGGAAATCAGCCGAGCACATCTTTTGTGGGAGGGCACTTCAAAATGATTGGTTTGTTTCCTTATAATGAAATTGCATGTTTGCTTCTGTTTGATTCTGATTAAACCAAGTCAGAGCATATGTGAGAACCATCTGGAATATTCAACAAGGATCAACTCTTTCCAAGGAAGGCCTTACACTGTGGAAGCGGTACAGTGTAATGGTTAGGAAAATAATGGCTTCAAACCCAATAGATATGAGCCAAAACAAGTATTGCCACTAACCACCTGTATGGACTTGGGACAAGTGGCTGAAACTCTCTAAGCACAGTTTCCTGGACAAATGGAGATGATAGCAATATGACCTAATCATATAAGGAATTGTGAGGAGTAAACAAGACAATGCACATACCAGATTATATTGAACATAATTGCTTAACCCAATGTAGTTATCTTCATGCTATTAACATTAAATGTACAAGTACTTTTTTATACAGTAGGGTACTAACTATTTTTCTTTAGGAAAATATTTAAAATTTGGGACACAAACCCTACTGAAATTAGCTCAACCATTTAGACCAGGAGTGAGGAACGTCTGGCCCTCGAGCTGTATAAGACCTGTGAAGTCATTTGGCCTGTTGCCAAGGCCTTAGGGGTGAGTTAATTAAATGTTTGACCAAATATAGCAGGCTAATTTTTAAGTTGATAATTTTGTATGGACTGCAAATGATGTATAAATATCTAAATGGCTCTTGGCAGAAAGAAGGTTCCCCAACCCTGATTTAGACCATTACCTAACATTCTGTAATGCTGAAGCAACACAGTTAAGTCATTAACAGCCATCTATGTTGTTTTCTTTTGCATTCCCCATGTTTATTTTTCCTTAGCATAAAAAAACAACCTTTGTTTTTTCAAATATCTAAGATCTCAAAATTTATACTAGTATTTTTTACTTTCAGCACTTCTGCACTTTCTTTCTCACATGTATCTTTCTTTATCAGGAATATTCCATCACCTTCTTAACTCAAAAAATCATGAACAAAGGAATAAGAACACATTCCATAAAAGCCAGAAACCACCCAAATCAGCATAATTTCCAATTACATGTTTAAAATGATACTTCAGATAATTTTCTTTTATATCTTTTTAATTACTTAGCTTAAAATTTCCTAATTTTTATAATGACTTAAAAGGAGACAAAAGTGGGAATAATTTAGAAAATTATTTTTCAACATCACTTAGTAATGTGATTAAGATAAAACAAAGCTTGTGTCTCCTACAGTTATTTCAAAAATAGTGTCATTTTCTACGAGCCACAGGCCTCCAAATACAGTAACTCTATGCTCCTAACCACATCAGAAACATGTAGGGGTGACCTTGCTGAGGATCCAAATCTGTGCCCTAACCCCAGCATAGTATGGGGAGAGAGGACAAATGGCCGAAGAGTGGTTTCTCTCTGTGAAAATATAGATGGCTTAATGACAAAGAAGACAGGTAGGAGTCAAGGGGAGGAAGAGTATGCAGTATTTTTAAGTAATTTCTGAAAGATGGGGTAAAAGCTTCTTTTAAAAGATGTCAGGAATGGCCAATACATTTGGCTTTGTCAAACCAGTACTCTTACTCTTAAGCAAATACTAAACCTCCATGAGAAATTAATTTTATGATTCACCTGGAAATGACTTCTCATCCAAGGGTTCCAACTCCAATGAGGGAAAAAGAAAACAAAGATGGGGGTGGGGGACAGGAAAGATAAATTGGGCAAGTCTGCAAAACTGTTAGGAGGGGAAAAACAATTCTACTGACTTTTACACTTGTTAAAAGAACAGAAAAAGAAACCTAAGGGGGGAATTTATTATCTACTAAATGAAAATTATTTAAATATAGTGTGACTTAGTATTAAGAGAGCAGGTAGATTTTACATGTGAAATATTCAGAAACTAATGCACTTACTTGCTTTTCCCTTTGTATACTGTAGCATAAGATCCTTCCCCTAGTTTTTCCAGTTTTTCGTACGAGTCAGCTTTTCCAAATTTGGGACTTGTAGGCTGAAAATGGAGCAGAGGGTAAACAAAGCAGATTGTAACAAACTAATTAACAATAAATAACCCAATTCTGCTAAAAATATACAGATCCTCTGTCACTTTTTAAATAATGTTTTTCTGATGCTTATTTTTAAAAAGCAATGCTTATTTAAAAAAACAACAACATAGATATTCAGGGTATAAAACTCCAAATATACAAATGAACAGTACAGAAGTTTAGATTAACCCATAATCTAACCACCCAGAGAAAATCACCATTAAGATTTCTTTCTCTTTTTTTTAACTGCCCTTAACTGGAATCTAATCCATTACCCTTCAGTATGCAGTCTGACGCTATATCTGCTGAGCCAAATCAGCTAAGGCAAATTTTGATATCTCTTCTTCCAATGCTATCTGCATACCGAATATTGCTTTTTTACATAAATGGGATTACACTATCTTGTAACCTGCCTTTTTTCCACTATTATGACTATTTTCCATGTCATTATATAATCTTCTAAATTAGGGCTGGCAAATCCCACCCACCACCTGTTTTCATATGTTCCATAAGCTTAGAAAGGTTTTTAAAATTTTTAACAGAGGAGGATCAAAAGAAAAATAAAATGTTACAGCATGTGAATATTAAAAATCAAATTTAGTGTCCATAAAGTTTATTGGGACACAGTCATCCACTCATTTATATATTGTGCTATGACTTTCAAGCTACAACAGAGTTGTAGTTACAACCAAGATCATAAGGCCAACAAAGCTGAAAGAGTTACTATCTGAACCCTGTTGTAAATCATGACTGTACAAAATTCAGGCATATAAAGTTATTCCTGCAATACCTGTCAGTGACAATGCAAACAGATAATCAGATGTATCTTTCAGGTCCACTAATAATACAAAAGGAACTCTCTTATACCTTCAGAAACCAATCCTTAAGGTTTAGCTGTAACAAAATAGCTCTTCAATAAGAAATGGTTTACCCTCTTGGTCGGCAAACTGCAGCTCGCGAGCCACATGCAGCTCTTTGGCCCCTTGAGTGTGGCTCTTTCAAAGCCTGAGGAGTATCCTAATTAAGTTAATAACAATGTACCTACCTATATAGTTTAAGTTTAAAAAATTTGGCTCTCAAAAGAAATTTCAATCGTTGTAGTGGTGATATTTGGCTCTGTTGACTAATGAGTTTGCCGACCACTGGTCTACCCCATCATGAGCTTAGAAGTGCTGAGAGAGAGATCTCATCACTTCTGTGCTCAACTCCTACCCCAACCTCAGCAGAGAGCACTGTCCGCCATGGAAGCAAATTACCTGTTATTTTAATGGCACTATTAAAAAGGGTAATACCAAAACATATTAGAAAATGATAATTGTATGAGAATTAAAAACATCTTAAAGGGATTATCTGATCATAGCTATAAGTACATATATAATTGGTCAAAAGTTGTTAATGATTGTGGTACTTTGTAAGTAACCAACTGTAGAAGCTTAGAGAAATTACTTCTTGTATAAAGTTTACAAAACACTATTCTTGCTCTCGGAACACTTATGAAACAACACAGCATCCTGACAATGAATATGACTCCTACCATTTATAAGGATTCTGCGGCAAGTTGAGCACATGCCTCTTACCTCCTTGCCATCTAAAATGCCATGAGTGCCTGAAAAGATATGTTTCAAAAATAATAAACCAGAAACAAGAATGGGAAATAAAACAAAAAAGAAGAGCAATATCTAAGTGAAAATTTGAGGAATTCTGAAAGACAGAGTAATCAGGATCAAGACTTCGGAGAAAATATTGTGGAAACTTAAAGATCCAACATGTAAGACCATTACAAATAACAGAAGCAAGAGTGTCTAGGTAAATATGAGACTAAGCAACACAGCTGAGCATGAGGTGTCCTCCCAAGCAAAATGCAGGGACATGTGCACAGAGGAGACAGCTGAGAATGTGGTTCTCAGGCTAGAGGGGTCGAACAACGATGGAAGCAGCCAATAAATACTTAGAGAAAACACGACATGCCCACATCCCCAAGCCGTAATGCCTGCCTCTCCCATACAATTACAAGAGACAATTTACAGAAAACTGAATATGCTGACAGCAATTCTCACACACAAAAATGAGTATACAGCCAAAAATCACAAATCATTTCAGGAATATCAATAAGAGAAGCATAAAATTTAATGAGCAGCTCAACTAAAACCCTGGTAAAAAGAGTTGACATTGCAAAGATAAAAATAACTTTGAATAAAAATGACAGCATCTTCAGAGAGATTAGAGATTAAATATTTAATTAATGAAATAAAACATTTAATAGGCAATAAATAAAAGAATGGACATAAGTGAAAACATACTAAGTTCAACGTTCGAATAAAATTTTCCCAGATAACTTTGGGGACGGGTTGCATCTAAACAGAAAATTTACCCAACAAGCATAATATTTTTATAGACAACACTGGCTGAAGAAAGACAATTCAGCAATATTTTCAAAATGAAAAGAGAAATTATTCTGAATCACGAACACTATACTCAAGATAGTTCCTCAAATGGGATGGAAAAGCTGCAATCTTACCCCCTTCAAAAAAAGTCTAGATAAAATGAAATGGACTGGCCAGTGCCCAAGGGGAGGAGGAAAGGGGGGTAACTGAATAAAGAAGGTGAAGGGATTAGCTAAGGAACATATATGCATACCTCATGGACATAGACAATAGGTTGGTGAAAGCCAAGGAAAGGTGAAGTGGGAGAAAGGGGTGAACAGGGGGACACCTATTCGGGGGAACAACTGCAATAACGTCAGCATTAAAAATTTTTAATAAAAAAATCTAGATATAAAATTCCATGCTATCTCAATATAAGATGAAGCTGGAGTGATGAAGCTGGGAATTGCAGGAAGGAAAGAAACAGTAGGACAGGAGAAATAAAGCATGTTGAGATTCACTGGATTGACTGCTGATACTGATTAACTACAACTGTTTAAGCTTTAGATGTTTCTAACCTCTTAAAAGTTAATCCCTAGAGCAATATAAATAGGATGTACAAATTCCAAACAAATTTGGGGGGAAAGGGAATAAAAGACACAATTGCAAGGAAAAGAGGGAAGGGGGTAAAAGTGAGAGGCTAAAGGAGGCGGGTACTCAATAGGAAAGAATGTTAAGTGAAAATCATAAAATAAAAAGTAAGTCCAAACATAGAAAAAATAAATATTTTTGCAAAATCATGTACTACAGCAATATTGATGGAAGACAGCCTATGCAAAACAAATGGATTATTGTATCTCATTAAAATCAACATTAAAATCCACCAACAAATTTAATCATCATAAACTACTTTGAGCCAAATAATGTAGCTTTGAAATGAATGAAACAGCCCTGGCCGGTGTTTCTCAGTGAATAGAGTGTGGCGAATGAACCAAAGGGTCACAGGTTTAATTCCCGATCAAGGACACGTACCTGGGTTGCTGGTTCACTCCCTACCTAGCCCCTGGTAAGGGCACATTCTAGAGGAGGGGTGGGCAAACTTTTTGACTCGAGGGCCACAATAGGTTCTTAAACTGGACCGAAGGGCCAGAACAAAAGCATGGATGGAGTGTTTGTGTGAACTAATATAAATTCAAAGTAAACATCCTATATAATAAAAGAGAAACATGGTAATTGGCGTACGACCGCTACCCTTCTCATTGGCTAATCAGGGCAATATGCAAATTAACTGTCAGCCAAGATGGCAGCCGGCAGCCAGGCAGCTTGAAACTAACATGAGGCTTGCTTCAGTGACGGAGGACTCCAACGTTCCCCGCCTGCTGATGCAGGCCTCTGAGTTGGCAGTTTGAAACATAGGTACAAAAATAGAAGCTAAACAAAACCCCAGAAACCGCTTTCAGCTAGCCGGGATCTCAGACCTGGAGTTGATACAGAGTTTCGATTGTAGAACGGAAACAAACCAGATACCTGCTTTCAGGAGCGGAGGCCTAAGAGCTGGAGCCTGAGAGTTGATCGGCCCTGCTCTGTGTGTGACAGGGTGCGGCGCCCCAACCCCCTGATCCACCCTGCTCTGTGTGTGATGGGGTGGTGCCCCAACTCCCCTATCGGCCCTACTCTGTGAGTGACAGGGGGCAGCGCCCCAACCCTGATTGGCCCTGCTCTGTGCGTGACAGGGGGTGGCGCCGCAACCTTCCCATCGACCCTGCCTTGAATGTGACAGGGGGCGATGCCCCAACCCCCCAATCGGCCCTACCCTGAGCGTGACTAAGGGTGGCATCGCAACCTCCCAATCCGCCCTGCTCTGTGCATGACAGGGGGCGGTGCCCCAACTCCCAAATCGGCCCTGCTCTGAGCCCGACCAGGGGCTGCACCTAGGGATTAGGCCTGTCCTCTGCCACCCAGGAGCAGGCCTAAGCCAGCAGGTCATTATATCCCGAGGGGTCCCAGACTGCAAGAGGGCACAGGCCAGGCTGAGGGACCCTCCCCCCCACCCCCCAGTACACAAATTTTTGTGCACCAGCCCTCTAGTCATTACATAAAAGGGTACGGTCTTTTTTTTTTTTTTTTAGTTTTATTCATTTCAAACGGGCCGGATCCGGCCCACGGGCCGTAGTTTGCCCACGTCTATTCTAGAGGCAACCAATCAATGTGTCTCTCTCCCTCCCTCCCTCCCTCCTTCCCTCCCTCCCCACCCCCCTCCATCCTTTCCACTCAGTCTGAAAAGCAATTTGGGGGGGGGGGGGATCCTCTAGTGAGGATTAACAAAACAATGAAATGTATGAAACAACTGCTAATAGCAATAAAATGAGAAATTAACAAACCCACGATGATAATGGGAGACATACATCGCTCAGACATCAACAAAGCAAGCAGACAACTAATAAGTAAGGGATATGTGGGCTTGCATATTAGAATTAACATTTCAATCTAATACACATATTAATATTTTTTTCAAGAACACATTTAACACCGACAAAGATGACCACAGATTAGCCACAAAGAAAATCTCAATATTCAAAATCACAGAAACATTCAGTTGCTTT